TCCTTAAAAAATTAAATCTTGATTAACAAGATGAAGAGTAAAGAATTAAGTGTTTATTGATTAATAATTTCAGGTAACAAAAACATTCCATTGGACCACTTGATAAAACTACTGAAGTTTAGGACTTAAAGACCTGGCAAAAGCGTACCAAATGTGCGCACAGTGTTAACGCCTGTGTGCCGCTACCCTGGAAGCACAAATGCTGAAAACCGCGTACATTACAACCCAGCCGGCCTGGCAGGCAAGACGGCTCCTTTCTTCCCTGTTTCTTTTGTTCAATTTGTATCAACTGATTCAGCTTCCTGACTGTTAAATCACCATTTTAGGCTCTGCATGAAGATATCAATAATGCAATTTCAGATTAACAAAGGGTCTAATTAGTCATTTCAAACTTACCGATTGTATCACCACCGCCTGACTAAACTCCCCCGCTCCCTTCTTCCGAAGCCCAAGACAAAACCCCTCTCCAGATTTTATCCTCTTCCACTCACGACCACCACAGTGCCGTTATGACCTCCAACAGCGTGGACTCATCCCATAGCCTTCGTCACACCACCGCATTCCTGTCCGAAACAATCTCACAATCCAATCACCGTCACCACATCATCTCCATCCTCCGCAGCAAGATTCTGCCTTCCGACCAACTCACCCTCAAACCCCTAAATTTTGCCACCGATATTCTAGAAAGGCCTATCTCCAACACCAATGCCACCGTCCAATCCTCCTCTCTCCGCCTCGGTAAAAAGCTCCTCCTCTCTCTCCTATTCCGACACCACCTTCTCCTCCTTCCTTCTGTCCCTTGTCTACTCCCACCGGACCAACCCATCGACGCCTCCATTAATCTCCTTCAAATTTTCTACCAAGACCCTTCACTGGCTCGATCAGAACTCTCCCCTGCTCAGTTCTAGACTCTGTTTCTTCCCCATTTCCTCCCAGTTCATGAATGTTTCCACCAACAAAGATCAACAATCCTATCATCCTTATCACAAAATGTCATGAACGAACCTGATGATTACTCCATCTGTGGTGTATCAGTGGTCGTCCCTTCCACGAAACTGTTGTCGAAGATGAGTGGAGATCAAGGTTCGGAATTGAAGGAATTGGAGAGAAATTACGGGGAGGTTATAGATGAGAATTGCAGGGCTTTTGCTAAGTATTTTAAAGAGGTGTTGGAAAAGAGTGATGAAAACAAATTGATAAATCCACCATCTATGGTGTTTAATGGAATAGAGAGAAAAAATAATATATAGGAGGGCAATGAAGAACGGGGGATCAAAGCAGAGGAGCCTGGATTGCACAATGGACGGCATAATCTAATTCTTCTTCAATTGATTTTCATTTTCAACTTATTAAAATAGTTTTTTTAAAAGCCTTTTCTTCACTCAAATCCTTTCTTTTTGTTTGAAAAGTTCGAAAGACCTCCAAAAGAATCTACACAGCCTCTAGCACTTATGCTCTCATAATTTTTTGTAAAACTATTAAACTATTAAATTAAGTGACATAGTGGACCTGCGCGTCGAAGAACAAGTTGAGTAGGAATGTAAATTCACATGGAGTATATAACAAAGAAGTTTGTAGATTAAATATAAAAAAAAAACTTATTTTATTTATTATTAATTAATTTTAGATTGGATGTAAATTTTGTATTTAACTCATATGTATAATTTTCACAAAGAAGATCCAAGTTTGAAAATAATGGTTTGTTCCTTTGCTTTTTTATTTTGAATTGAATTTCATTACTTCGTAATTCATATTTAGGTTCTGTTTAGTTTAGTTGTTACTAACAACTAATGATTATAATTACTAACAACAACTTATATTAATTTAAAATTAGCTTATAGATTAATGTTTCTAGTCAAAATAATTAATTATTTATGGAAAATAATATCATATAATAAAATCAATTAAAACAAAGAGAACCTTAATTCAATTTCAAGGAAGATTTTTTCTATTGCAAAATTTGAAGTTATACCAAATGCTAAAAACTGCTGATGATCTTAGTAGTTGTTTTTAGCTTCTACCTCTGAAATAGATTTTGGGTTTAAGCTTTTAAATTTGATAAATTTTCTTCATTTTTAAAATTATTTTATATAAGTTCATAATTCAACAATTCTACAAAATACCTACTCAGACAACATTTCTAAATCATAACAGCGAAGTCAAACAAATGTCCCAGCGTTTTTAGCTTCTTTTTTTTTTTTTTTTTTTTGTCCTTTTAGTTGACTATCTATTCGGATATATAAACCCTCTAATATGAAAGTTTCAGATCTAACAATTGAGTTGTTCTTCCAAAAAACGCGTTAAATATAGAGGCTTAATATTACCAGTCATAGATCCACACCTAATGGCTTCGACTCCATTTAATCCTTGACGGAACCTGTTTGACTTTGTAATAACAAAAAGATAGTGCATTGAATTGTGGAAAAGTACATAATTGTTATTTTTATGCAATTTGCCAGGTGATATATTGAGTTGGTATGCACGTTACCTTCTTGGACCAGCACAATGCTTCCTAAATCACAACAACAGATACAAGATCAATGAATCCCTGCAAGTTATATGAGGATGTGGGGACACGTTTTAATTTAATTCATAGGAAGACTAATCATTAACAAAAAAAACTTTATGGCACTGGCTCTTGAGCCATAGTGACATTAGTCACCGGTGCATTCCTCTCTCTCCGAGCAGGGTTTGAAACCCGCCTCTTACAAAATATGTTCAAAAAAAAAAAACAAAAAAAACTTTATGATATAAAAAAATGAGCTGTGTAATATCAGGACACTCTACTACTCAAGATGTTCATAACGGCATCAGAACGTTCATCACAGTCGTTAGTTTCGTGAGTCACAATCATAGTGACAATTGTGATGGAAGCCTTTACACCAAAACGTAGTAATTTTCATACTTTACATAAAAAAATCCTTAGTTCCCATTCTCTAATATTCCAGTTTGACAATTTCAAAGCATTATATTCCTAACCCAGTTCACTGAATTAATTTCCTTATCTTTTCCTTCATTTGCCTGCGGCCAATATGGGCTGAAGGAGAAATGTCAGTTGAATTCTTCAGCAGCAGTTCCGGCAGCAGCAAGTCCAAGCAGCCCCCTGCATATTTTCCCCAGAGGGTCTCTCCATATATCCTCGAGACCCAGAATCCTACTGCATTGACAACACCGTCCAATCCTGATTCTGATTCTGAACTTGATTCTTCTTTGGATGACAATTCAGGTAATTACTCTTATTCCTCTGAATCTGAACCAGAAATTGAGGTAATCGATACTTACAAAGATTAAGGATCTCTAGCCTGAACTGATTTTTCCATGCGGCTGTTTCGGTTTTTAAACTGTTATGTCTGTGTCTTGTAGGAAACGAACAGAAAATCAGCATTGATTGAGGCCAGAGAGAATATAGAAGGAAAACAAAAGCAGCCTGTTTCCGCACATTCAAGCCAGTATGTAATGCTTTAAAAGTTCTAATTACGTTCTCTTTGTTTGTTTTCTGAATATTGGATTCCCCGTGCAAGCAGGTCTTCAGATTATCTGATGGCTGGCGGTGGAAAACATACACCTCCCAAGGATTTTGTTTGCCCCATCACCGGCCATTTATTTGATGATCCGGTGACTCTAGAGACAGGTCAGACCTACGAGCGCAGAGCAATACAGGAATGGCTTGATAGGGGAAACTCAATCTGTCCGATAACCAGGCATCAGGTTCAGAACTCCCACCTACCTAAAACAAACCATGTGCTCAAGAGGCTTATAGCAAGCTGGCAAGAACAGAATCCTGGCTCTGCAATCCCATGTCAGTCAGGTGACCAACATGTTGAGCCTGAGCTTGAGGCTATGATTAAGCCAGAGATAGTTCCAGTAACTTCTCCCAACAGTGTCATAAACCAAGCAGTGATGGATAGGACAACTACTGAACTCTGCCATGCCATTACAAAACTTTGCATGTCAGAAGTCCTTAAAGACTCTGAAATGGCTGTCCTCCAAATAGAGCGATTCTGGCAAGAAATGGGGATGGATTTGGATTTGGATGCTCAAACTATGCTCTCAAAACCTTCTGTCATCCATGGATTTGTGGAGATCCTTCTCAATTCCATCGATCCCCAGGTGCTGAAATCAACTGTTTTTCTCCTCTCTGATCTGGGTTCAAGAGACAGAGCTGTCATCCAGACACTTACTCAGGTTGACTCCAATTTAGAATGTATTGTAGCTCTCTTCAAGAAGGGTTTGTTTGAGGCGGTTGTCTTGATATATCTACTTCGACCTTCAATTCCCAGGATGAAGGAGATGGAAATGGTGGAATCCCTTCTAACAGTTATCAATAAGAAAGATGAGGAAATGATAAAGATATGTCTGAAGCCAAAAACAGCTTCTGTGATCTTACTGCAGCAGATTCTCCACTGCAATGAAGAGAGTGTTGTATCTTCAATCGTTGGTTCAATTGCTTCTTCTAAGGAAATTCAAACCATTATTGGAAGCTTGGAATCTGAATTGACAGAGGAGAGGATAGCTGCAATTGGCATCTTAGTGAAATGCATGCAAGAAGAAGGCAAGTGCAGAAACACCATAGCTGATAAAGTAGAGTTGGCTCCAGTTTTAGACAGCTTCATCAATGTGAGTGATGGAGATCGCTTTGTGATGGTTCAATTCTTCTCTGAGTTGGTCAAATTGAAAAGGTAGTTTATCTAAGTTGTACACCTTGCTGTTTGCAAATTTCTTGCAGCTGCACCTGCTGGTCTAATGAATTTTCAATATTTGGATTTCTCCAGAAGGAAACTCAATGAGCAAATTCTCCAGATGATTAAAGATGGAGGTTCTTTTAGCACAATGCACTCTCTCCTTGTTTATTTACAAACAGCACCTCCAGACCAGTGTCCTGCTGTAGCTGGTCTCCTACTCCAACTTGATCTCATGGTTTGGATCTCTATCTCAATAAAATATGAAACCTGAGAAATCCATTTACATTAGTTGTTAAATCTGCTATAAAATATAAAGTTGATGATAATTATCTTGGATTGCAGGCTGAGCCAAGAAAGATGAGCATATACCGGGAAGAGGCAGTAGATGCTATCATTTCATGCCTGAGGAACTCCGAGTCCCCTGCTGTTCAAATAGCAGCTGCAGAGACAATTGTAGCACTGCAAGGGAGGTTCACTGCCTCAGGGAAGCCCCTTACCCGACCTTTTCTTCTAAAACATGCTGGACTTGAGAGAAGTTACAGACTTCTTATGCGCAAGGAGCAACTAAGCAACATTTCAGGAGAATTAAAAGATGTATCTGTGAGTCTTTTCATAAAATGTGGAACAATATTTATATATTTTCCTTGTTACAATTGCTTCAGTCCTGCTGGTTTAGGATATATGCACTTTGCTCTATTCTGCTTTTCTTTTGATGCTTCACCAAAAACAGGAAGAAGAGAGGGCAGCTGATGCTTGGGAAAGAAAAATGGCCTTTGTTCTAGCAAGCCATGAATTTGGCCTGCTGTTTGAAGCTTTTTCAGAAGGGATAAAGAGCAGACATGCAGAGTTAAGTTCAGCATGTTTTGTGGCAGCAACATGGCTCATATACATGCTTGGTGTTCTTCCAGACACAGGGATAAGAGGAGCAGCCCGAGTCTGCTTACTCAGCCGCTTCATATCTATATTCAAGTCAGCAAAGGACATTGAAGATAAATCTCTTTCTTTGCTAGCTCTCAAGAGCTTCATGCAAGATCCTGGTAGATAGCAATTCTTGAAATGAGCAATATTTGATTTAGACATACTTACAGGCTGCAGTGACATAGCATATTTCGTGAATTTCAGAAGGCCTCCAGGATCTGAGTTCCTATATGAAGGACATTTGGAAAGGTCTAAGAGAACTTAAAAGATGTTCTCCTTTGGCAATTGAAATTCTGAAAGTTCTCTGTGAAGGGCAGGGGTCAAGCGCTGTAAGTTTGTAGTACTTATGCACATCTCACACCATAAAAATGAACAATCTTTCCTCAACTGTTGATTTTGTTGGGCTGCAGGACTTGTGGAATCACAAAGAACTGCTTCAAGTTGATTCAAGTGAGAATGGTGAAGTGTTGTCAATAGCATGCTTCAAAGACAAGATCTTTTCTGGCCATTCAGATGGAACAATAAAGGTAAAACTCTTCACCAATAGCAGATTTCATTATTTCTGAAACTATACCAGACACAAACCTTAGAACATTGAGCTTCATGGCATTCTTTTTCTCAAATGGAAGGTCTGGAATGGTAGAGGCAACATCCTTCATCTTATACAGGAAATTAGAGAACATACCAAGGCAGTTACTAGCTTGTCAATTTTACAATCTGGTGAAAGACTTTATAGTGGCTCACTTGACAAAACTGCAAGGGTAATGCTCTTAAACTTCTTCTAGATAATATGCGCACAACTTCAAAATTCAAATGCATTGTTTTTGATATGTAGGTTTGGTCCATTGGTAATGAAGTAATACACTGTATACAAGTACATGATATGAAGGATCAAGTTCATAACCTAGTTGTGGCCAACAGCATTTCATGCTTCATTCCACAAGGAGCTGGGGTCAAGGTATATCATCAATTTCACTCCAATTTCCCTTTCTGTTCCTGAGTATTGTTATCTAGATTTAGCCATGCACATTGATGTGCTTTCATTGTTCTCTTTTCCCTTTCAGGTTCACTTTTGGAATGGACAATCAAAAGTCCTGAGTCCAAATAAATACATCAAATGCTTGGCTCTTGTCCATGGAAGATTATATTGTGGATGCCATGATAGCAGTATCCAGGTAACAGGTCCTCTCTGGTACAATTTATTGGCATAATTTCTCAGAATCTGTTTTGCAGTAGAATCCTGACAAGAAAATTGTGTTTCTCAGGAACTGGATTTGGCATCAGGAACACTCAGTACAATTCAAAGTGGGACAAGAAAATTACTTGGAAAAGCAAATCCTGTCCAGGCTCTCCAAGTTCATGACAGATTGATATATTCAGCCAGCTCTTCCTTGGACGGAGCAACAGTGAAGGTATGAAGAAACTTCTGCATTAAGATCTTTCTCTTTTAAATTTCTAGAATAAAAAAATAATAAAAATAACTTCAAAAAGGAGTAATTTGAAGCTTGTTTCTATACTTGTTTTATTCTGATTATTTCTTTTTTTAAGTTCTAAATTTTAACAATGATTTTCATTTTGGGGCAAAGATTTGGAGTTGTTCCAATTACAGTATGATTGGATCAATAACAACAACATCAGAAGTTCGGTCCATGGCTATAAGCTCAGAACTGATATACCTGGGTTGCAAGGGAGGAACTGTGGAAGTCTGGGATCAAAAGAAACACACTAAAATTGAAACACTGCAAACTGGTACAAACTGTAAGGTCATTACCATGGCTCTTGATGTAAATGAAGAAGTTTTGGTAATCGGAACCTCTGACGGCAGAATTCAGGTGAACTGTTGCCTTTCCTCCAAATCACCCATCAATTGTTTCTCTCTCAATGCAATACTTATCTACAAGAATTATGTGTTCTACAGGCATGGGAGCTGAATTAGCAGGATACAGAGACAACAATTGTTTTGCTCAAGATAACAATTCCCACTGAAATCATTTGCACTCTTCCAAGAACTCCTGATTCTTGAAAGTTGTATATAATTCAAATTTATATATAAAAAATCGAAAATCTCAATTCCATGAAATTATGCAATAGCTTTACTAACATTTTTCATAAACTTCATCAAATATTCATCCAATGCAAAAAAATTAAAATAAATGAACTGTGTAAGAAAGACAGCATACTCATCATAGCAGATTCAATTCCGCCGCCACACCATCGTTCGCAATTTCTAGCCATTAAATCTGAATTAGATTATGCTGGTTTTCTTTTTACTAGATCTCCATCCAATATCTGTCATGCTTCGGAACCAAAACGTTGCTCGCTGAAAATCAATCGGCTGCTAATTTTCCCAGAAAATCTCTTCTTATAATTCTTCATCTCAGGCATTGAATTTCTCGACAAAACATCAGAATCCATCTCGGTGTTCACCATTCGTCGGAATCTGAATAACCTCGTCACTCGATCCTTCTTCATTTCCACCATTTTCATTGTTTCTGCAGCACTAAAAATCCGGCGATGGAGATCGCCGGCTAGTGAAGACCGGAAAAGGAAATAAGAGAGCTAAAAACTTCCAGAAAGCACCTTTGAAGTCCGAGCCAAACCAAAACGGTGACGTATCTTAGATTATTTTAGTTTTTTGTTTCAATTAAAAAATGACACGTCAGATTTGAGAAATAAATTAATTTCAGGAATCATAAAAGAACATTCCATTTTTTTTCTTCCAAAGAATTCATCAAAGTCAAAACCCTACTGCTTTTTCGGCCGGAAAAACCCTCCTGACTCCTATTGGTTTTGGTTTTCAAATTCTGAATTACGTCCAATGCCTTCATCCAGTTCGAATTCCGTGAAAATGGATCCTTTAGCTACAGTCGTGGAGGGTGTAAAAGGTTTTGCAAAATCGAGCCATGATTGGGTTAATGGCCTCCTCCAACGCCGCCATAATTCATCTCACCGGAATCCGGTATTACTCTCTTCCTATTCTATTCCTCGTCTTTTCTTTTATTACAAACTGCACGCCTGATCATTTCACTTCTTCCCCCTGTTGATGGTTTTCAGATTGAAATCTTGAAGCGTTTGCAGCGGGAATCGTTTTCAGACTTGATGAAGATCAGAGACAGACAGGATAAGGTCGAGCGGTTGCTTTCTTTCTATGGGAAGTCCAAGGGAAGTCCGTTCCAAGAAGCTGGTACCCATGTGAGGGGGGAAGTTGATGTTTTGGGGGCAATGTTGTTGATGGGTGAAGTCAATCAAGAGCATTGTGATGCAATGGAAAGGGCAGGAATCAGAACTGGGATTAATTCAAAGTTTATTTTTGAGACAACTGTTCGAGGGAAAGATAATCTTGCAGTAGAGTTTGTGAGTGATCAGAATGGCAGGGGATATCTCGGTGATGTTACAGGAACCCCACTTTCTTTGGCAAAGGTGTCCTATAAGGCAAATGTTGGGGACTGGTTTTCTGCAATTGCAATTCCGATGGGAGCTCAATTCAGAGATGTTGATGTTACTACAGACTTTTCCCATCAGGTACAATTTATTCATCATGGATAATGTAGGTGATCTTACTGCTGTACTAGCATGCTTTTAAGGTAGTATATTATGACAATGATGCACATCAAGATTTCCATGTTAACCTGATGTCAAATATAAATGCATCGTCTGTTTACTGACTTTTATTGTTGAGTATAAATTTGATCTTAGGTAACCAGAGTTTTCTCCTGCTTTTATGGCTATTAAGATTCCCTTTTAGGTTGGATCACTAACTAACCATATTGTTAAGAATGATCTCACAGCAAACATGTATTATTAGCACTAAACATGATGTACCATAGAAAAAAGGAGTGATAACTAGTATGTTTCACACACCCGAGATTTATCCTTGTGTTTTCTCAAAACGTTTTACTCTGATTTCTAATCTAACTTCTATTTGAATAAATATTTTTAAGCAGGTTCCTAATGTTTACATAGATTGACTGGGGTTTTCATTGTTGTCTAGCAGGGGAAGGGTCTAACTGATTTATCATGTTTTGGGCCACCCCTTCTAAATCAGCATAATGGTAGTGCAATTGGGCTAACTGTGAGAAAGTCAAATATTGTTGCTTCATTGGCTCACTCTGTCTCTAGACTAGGACTCCCATCAGGTTTTGATGGAATTGGCCACTGCTTCAGCACTTTTGGGCAAGTTGTCTGTCAACTTCCAGGAAGAACTAAAGTCTCTGTTTTGGGTCTTCATGAAGTGCCTAAATTGTCAAGTTGCGAATCTGGAATGCTTAGTGTTCCGGTAGGATTTTTGACACATCATGAAGCCTCCGATAGAATGGATGAATCATCTTCTCCACCTTTGAGAACAGGCACCCAGGGAATTGTCTCAACTGGTTCTATTGCTTTGAAGCTGGATTCAGAACTTGATGAATATACAAGACTTGGAGGTTGGATTGAGATGAAAAATTGCAATCCAAAAAATGTTCGCTGGGCAGTTAACTTGTCTGATATTTCTGATGATGAATTTGGCTGGGGTATGAGTCTTGGTGGGATTATTGAAGGGCCAAAAAATTGGGATCACTTTCAGGTTGAATCCTATTTGAAATTTAATATGAGCAAGAGATTCAGCTTGAAGCCAGGTCTTGCATATGTAGTTGATGGGAATTCCAGAACCATGGCCCTTATGCTTCGCTCTAATTGGTCTCTTTGATCTGCTACTTTTCTCATTTTGTCAGTTAGAGGTTTTCTTTTGTTTAGGAGGCCATAATTTTTTGGGAAGTTCATAGTGTTCTCTTCAAGTTTATGGTAGTCTGACATGGCATGGCTGGGAAAATTTAAGATTTCTGATTGAAGATGACTGTTATCTTAATCTACTACATATCCAGGCTCTAAATTTTTGCTTTGCATAATTTCATGACCAATAATAGTCAACACATAATACGTGATTCCTTCTTTTAGCAGTTTTTTTCTTTGCCATCTTCTTATTAGCTTTGGTCCACTAGATACTATTACATTATGTATAACTACTAACTTCTAAAAGCCTCTCAGACTCCTAGTTGTCAAACTCTTTCTAATTGTTTTCATGATATTTGTTGCAAGGTTTTCCCACACAGGGAATGGCAATTTTATTGTTAACTGCAGTTCCTCCAGAAGGAATGCCTCCCTATTGTAACAACAATATTTTAGAAGGTTGCCTCTAAAGCTCGCCTAGCTCACAACTCTCCTTTTATTGCTTCCTTCAGTCCTCTCAAGCAGCTGGCAATAGTTCATGTTGTCCTTTGTGCTGATAAACTTGACATTATTAACAACCAAAAGTGAGAGCTTCTCTGACTGTATAGTGCTTTGATTATAATTTCAGACTTTCAGTAGTGACTTCAATCACAGTTCACCAAATGTTCATGAAATCCGTTGGCTGTAGAAATTCCTGTAGTGCTCTGCATTCTTCTCCACTACATCATATTTTCCTTCATTTTCTGTATATCAAATTGAAGGAAGATGATACTTTATTTGCTAGTTTTGCCAAATCAAGGAGGCTGGTTTGACTTGGAGGAACAACAACTCCTAGTTCTGAGTCTTTGCTACCAATGAAATACTCTGATGGTAGTCTTCCAAGGTTCAAAGCCTGCTGCAACCTGGGAAACTAAGGTACAATCATTAATCACCTTTGAAACAATTTGTCAGCTTATATGCTTCAGAAGTTATTCATCTTCTCTTTTGTTTATTTGTTTCTGCTTTTGTGGTATCTCTTCATCACTTCTAAACCAGTAGTGGTTTCTGCTATTTTATCATATTCTCTTATGCGTTACACTAACCTACCCTAACATTATCTCTTTTGGCTGCTCTCAGATTACTTAACAAAGCTTTTGCATCCTTCGAAACTTTGAGAATCCCTTGGGAGTTTGATGGCTTGGTTTGTAGAACATGTGATATCTGTACAATACAACAATTCTAAGCGTGTTGGAAGGCACCGAATCAAAGTCTTTCCATTTGGCTCTGGCTCCCTCCATGCTCCAGCTAGCCACCAGGGACTAGCACTTGTTTCTTGAGGAATAACTGAACTCATTCCTGGCATCTGGGATCATCTCCCTTAAAAAATGGGTACCTGGGTAAGCAACGGACGACACTCATTCCTTATTCCTTTTATCCCTTTCTTGTTTCTATAAAGATGTAAATTATATTTCTTTCTACGGGAAGTTGATTGTTTTCTCGACATGATTCTGGGGAATGTAAGATTGTTTTCTTGGTTTTCTATGTTGCATCATCAGGGACCTTTAGAACACCAAAGCCTTGTGGATGCATATGGCAACAGAACATGGTATCTCAAACACAATCAAACAAGAAATAATTTTCTTTGCCAAGGCTTATTTAAATGGAAATCAAAACATCCTATTTTTAAAATATCATGGCTATATATAAAATTGTACAAATAATTTTAACAAGTCTTTTTTACGTGTAGATTCACTAAAAATATATAAGTATTTATATTATTATTTTTAATATTTTAATTAACAAAATATTGTGATTATTTATAATATTATATTTATATTTATGAAAATAATATGACGATAATGTTTCGTAGTACTATAAGTTTATTGTATAATATATTATTTTATAGTTGATTTTTTATTCAAGTTTTATTGTAATACTATATGTATTTACTTATTTAATAATATATTATGATCATAATTGTTAAAATTGTAATTTTACTTATAAAGGCAGAACCCTCAAATCACCTCCTGACAAATATGGGTAGGGACGAATCCACCCCTCAAAAAAAAGCAGGGACAAATGACACCCCAAAAGTATCGATCTTCCCAAATCGATCATTATCTAACGGGTGACGTCATCACCGTCACGATCTCCGTTTAGCCCGTGCCAGCGTGTCGTTTTTTTACACGCTGGATGCTGATGTGTACCAATTCCGTCACGATCTCCAAATCCCTGAACACTAACATGGGGTTCCCAATTTGCAGTTAGGTCCCCGCCCAAGTCCAAATCCCTAACTCTGTAATTCATTTCACCTGCTCCGATCATCTTCTGTACTGCCAAATTTTAAAAATGGAGGAATTAGTTGCCGTGATTCTGTCTATGCTTCTTGTTGTTGCTTTGATTCCGTTGTATCTAAGGAAACGCCGGCAGGATTCGGGATCACCTCAGGAACACGAAGAAGACCGTCAGGTCCATTTCTTTCCCCCTTTTTCTATTTCACGAAATTTGCGCATTTATTCAATGTTTGAAGGTTTCCCAGATGAGCAAATTCTGAGCTTTTTGTTTGTTTCTTATTCCCTGGTGTCGGTTTCAGGTTCCAATGAGGGAAGCTGTGGTTGGCGCCATTGGTGCTCGTAGGATGCGTAGGAGACCAGCCGCTGGAGCTAGCACATCATCAGCTGCAGCTGCAGCTTCAAGCACTGCAGGTGCTGTACCATAACCCTTGACCCATAATCAAATGCGCAGATCCAAGAAAGTTATGATCTAAAAAAAATTACCTCTGCATTCCTAGCTGAACGAGTTCGTCAATGGCCGAGTCCAAGGCTACGCGATCCTTCTTCTTGGCCAACAACTTAACCTCTTGAACCACATGAACACGCCATCCGCTCCTCAGATCTGGCGAGTACATATGCCTAATTACCTTGTTTATCGACTCTCTCTCATCCTCGATAACAGATCCAAGGTCCTCCACGAACAGCTTCACCGCCCGCCTCCGGAGCTCCCGCGCATCAATCTCACGAGCCATAGCCCTCTGCGACGCGGTGAATAGGCAGTTCCCATCCGGCGAAACCTCACCTCCATGCGACAGCCGGAACACGACCGCAGAGCCGTGATCCCTGGGCTGCTTCCAGAGAACTCCCTTGGCATGGAGCTTCTGTAGGTGCCGTCTCTGCTGGTCCTCGAGCCCAACCACATCGTCCCACGTTGCCGCCGCGATAGTTGTTACCTCTGTCTGGTCAACGAGATCCACGGCCTCTAAATCCGATGACTGTGGTTCCCTCCATGACACGTTCGGTGATGAAGTTTGAAAAGTCTCCGCAATGGTTGTTGAATCACAAAGTAATTTCCCCATTTTTTTCCTCAAGAGCGGAATTGGTACACATCAGCATCCAGCGTGTAAAAAAACGACACGCTGTCATGGGCTAAACGGAGATCGTGACGGTGATGACGTCACCCGTTAGATAATGATCGATTTGGGAAGATCGATACTTTTGGGGTGTCATTTGTCCCTGCTTTTTTTTGAGGGGTGGATCCGTCCCTACCCATATTTGTCAGGGGGTGATTTGAGGGTTCTGCCACTTATAAAATCATACAATTTTATGATTTTAAGTATCAAAATCACGATATATCTAAATTAAAATTAGAATCTCATAAACTACAAGTTGAAAATTGTAAAATTATGGTAAAATTGTAAAATAAAAAAAAATATATGAAATTGAAATTTTACAAATTTAGAAAGTTTTATAGATTTTTATGTTATAACGTGGCTAACAATCATTAGTACTGCATTGGTGGAGCGGTACTTGTTGCCTATTTGTGCGTTTGGCCTTTTTGGATTTCCAAGCAAAAGTTTTAAAGTTTTATTAATTTTTT